GAAATCAAGTATGTGGGTCACTTCCTGGCAATTTGAGGTCCACCTTAAACAAATTCACTCTATTGGCACTTTCCTCTACATTGATTTTCTTTTACCTTCAACCAACTCTTAGCAATAGGGAATAGATGACAAGAGAGCAGGTTTTGGTGAAACTGGAAGCTTCTTGTCCTGAACCTGCACATCGACAGTGAATGTAGTCATCAACACTATGATCATAAAAGAAGTAATCAGTGAAGAAATTAAGTTCTTGGATACAAGATAAAGCCCCCACTGCTGATGAAACCATTAATATCTTAATGTTATATCTTTACATTCATTTATACATAATAAATATCAGTCTGTAAATGCTATTGAACTCATTGCTGTGCAAATCTAAAAGATACAGAAACAGGGTCAGCTTTCAGAAGTGCAGGGTCTGAAGTTCACAGCTAAGATATATAGAATCTTAGATAACAAGTTTTAACCCATTAATACTTAGCGTTCTGTTTTGGGGATGGTGAGCATTAATCATACTTATTATAAAACCCAGGTTGTATGTGTGTGTGTGTGTGTGTGTGTGTTTGTTTATATATTGGATCAGATTTCCTACATTTATCAACCGATTTCAACAAAACTTCACAGGACTACATAAAATTACCTTGCGGTGGTTCTGACAGTGCCAAAAATTGGAAAAACAATTGTTTTTGCACGAAATCAATTTGAAAACACGATTAAGAGGCATCGCTGAAATGAATGAAAGGGGGACAACTCATATCGAGTTATACTTATTATAAAACCCAGGTTGTTTGTGTGTGTGTGTGTGTGTGTGTGTGTGTGTGTGTGTGTGTGTTCGTTTATATATGGGATCGGATTTCCTACATTTTCAACCGATTTCAAATAAAACTTCACATTTTTTTTGGCAGGTAGTGTTTCTTATTGTCTTGCACACTTTTTCTTTATTTTTATATTCAGAATGCTTTAAAAATTCCATTTACAACACAGTTGTTTATAATAAAATTCTATTCAATTGGTAGACTCATAACAATTGAAAACAATGTTTTTGTTTGAGTTTGGGTTTGATCAATTCACAAAAAAACCCAAAACAAAACAAAAAAAAAAACTAATTAAGACGTGTGTCCGTCAACCTTAAACAATAATGTTTGTCAATTTTATTTTTCAGTCTTTATGATGGTTGATACTTGATCTATCTCTTACTGTTACATCCCCGGGCAACACCGGGCTCTACTGCTAGTGGGTTATAAGTCTTCTACACGTCATGTCCCTTCAGGAAATGTACAAATCATGCCTCTTCTCAACTTCCTATCCTTTGTAAGTCTTTGTAACATTTGTCCTCTCACTATCTTTTACAGTTTCTGTTCTACCAACCATTTACACAAGTGTGTTAGGTACGTTAATCATTGTTTTTCGGTCCCTCTTGCCTTTGATATGTCCTGTGGGCATCGGATTCTCTAAGTTTCCTTTCCTTCTTATGTGTCCTTGAAACTTCAAATGTTTCAAAATATAAGCATACTTTAGAAACCTATAATAAATATTTGATTTTCTTCATATATACTGATACTAGAAAGATTTGTTTTTTTATAATTTTATAATTACTCCAGGTTTTTTTTTATTTGATTTTTTGTAATTAATACCAGATTTTCCAGGTGATCATTAATAGGTTTAAAGTGCTTTTTTTTTTATTCTAATTATTTCAACTGCTGTCTGTAAAATTTAAATATTTAAAATGATTGGATGAGCTCTTGTTATGGTACCTAGACTGTATGAATTTAAGCGCAGTACTAGACTGGTATCAAGATCTCATCAATTTACAGTTGAGCTGGCTAAATGTAGCCATAAGTTCTATGCTAGCAGTTTTTCTTACACTTCTTGCTTGGAGAACCCTTTTCTGGCTCTACGCATTCTAGCCAATTTTAATATGCAAAAATTTAAATGCAATGTCAATTGCTATCTACTGTCTTCCTAATTACTCTTTCTGTTGATTATTAATGTTTCTGTTTCTAATTCTTCCACACCCTGTAACCCCTTGTGTTTTTAGTGGCCGTACTGCCTTGCATAGGGTGATACTGATTAAAAAAAAAAAAAAAAAAACACCAAATAAAAAAAAAAAAAACACTAAAATGAAAAAATAACAAAAAAAACAAACACTAAACTAAAAACAAACACTAAACTAAAAAAAACACTAAACTAAAAAAAAAAACACTAAACTAAAAAAAAAAAAAAAACAAAGCTTATGCCTGAATATTGGCAATAAAACATTTGACAATATAGAATTTAATTACACAAATGCTGTTAAAATAGCTGTTATATGTATAAATATTTTCAAAGAAATACATTTTTATGCAGTGTTAAAATTTAATTCAAGTAAAAATGAAAAAAAAAGAAATACATTTTTATGCTATGTTAAAATTAATATATTTAATTCAAGTAAAAAACAAAAAAAAAACAAGGACAAACAAAAATGACTAAGAATTTAAAAAGAAAATTTAATTGCCACTCTCTGCCAAATCTACAACATGTTGTACATATTTGACCAAACTAGTAATCATTCCACCCAGATCAAGGCAATAAAGCCACTAAGATGCAAAGTAGTTACTGAATGTGAGATAATACAAGAAAAAGAAACCATGAGAGAGAGAGAGAGAGAGAGAGAGAGAGAAGGAATTAAGAAAACAGAAGATAAGGATTGAAATTGAAATAAATATTTTGAAGATCAAAGTTGACTGGGAAACAAGAGGCTGAAAGAGAATTCCACAAGCGAGAAGTGCAAGAGAAGAAACTGTTAACATAGAACCTATGGTTATATCTAGCAATTTCGATTCTAAAATGAGACATTGCCACCAATTTAATACCATGCTTAAATTCCTAAAATCTAGATACCAAATAGCCTACTCAAACACTGGGTTACATCCATACACATACATATTATATATATCATACACACACACACACACACAGGGGGTAAACTGTTACCATTTTATATATTTCATTTCACATATGCATGTTGTTGGTTTTTGATTTGGATGACTGTACAGGTCAGTTGCACACCATCTGTGAGAAAAAGAGCACCATGATGCAATTCGCTCTGTCAGAAATTTATAAATGGCATGCTGTACTGCTTGTCATTCGTGCTGGAAGTACCAATATGAACATTTCAAAGTGTTTGGGCGTCAATCTGAGGACAGTGCAGAGGATTTGGAAAGAGTTAGATAGCAATTATGAAGGTGTTTGTAGTGATCACTAGTAATAATGCTGACATTATGCCTCCATTCATCTTCCCACAGGGCCTCAGTCTCAACATGGAGGCCTACATCAAGTGCCTTGAGGAGGTAGTGCTGCTTTGGGTCAAGAGGGTGGCTGCTAGAAGACTATGCCTGGCAACAGGACGCACACAAGCAGGAGAACCCAATCATGGTTGTTGGATTTTTTCTGCAACCACATCACCCCTTACATCTGGCCACTTAACTCCCCAGACTGCAGCCCCCTTGATTATTATGTGTGCGACGCAGTTGAACAAGAGACCAATAAAACTCCTTGTAGATGAACTAAAGGCAAGGATTATAGCAGCATTCACTTAATGAGACCGTCCAAAAGAGTTACTGGAGATTCTGAAGTCATCTGGGAGGTCGTTGTTGAAGCCAATGGTGATTTTATTTAATAAATTTACTCACTAGTGTTTCAAGATATTTTCGTATAATTTTGGTAAATATATCTGTTAAAATGAGATGTCAGTGTTATCTTCATTTTTGTGTAAATTAGATGACAATTTATCCATCGCACCCTCCCTATATGTACATTTCGATGTGGTGTAATAGTTAGCAAATATAACCTGCTAAATCAATTACAAGTGAGTTTGATCCTCACTGAGTGCTCCATACTCATGGCCTTGTATCACATCTAAGCTATGTTTTGTAAATCACTATATATATATATATATATATATTATGAACAATAAGAAAATAAAAAAATTAAAATCTTTAGACACACTGGGTTGTAGATTAATATTCTTTCGTTTTTTTTTATTATTATTCCATTTTGATTCCTCGACTAGTTTCGACCGAAATGGCCATCATCGGGAGGAGAAATATTTCTGCTTGCTGGTAGCACTAAACTACAGAAATGAATGTCTTTTGCTGGAGAAAATGAACTTTTGTCTGTAGTTTTCATTTGTTTTATTTTTTTATCTTTAACATGAATCTTTTAACATTCCTTGTGTTGGTCAAACAGTCTCTTAAGTTGTTGTTTGAGATAAGAGCTGGAAAGATACATGTTACTCTGAATTCTCTGATCAGTTTGACAGTTTTATTGGACCTGGTGAGGGGATGTGTCTCTGTTTAGTGTTTGTGTGTGTGTTATTTGGTTCTTAGGGAGTGAGTGAGTATGATATGTGTAAGCGTGTGTATTGCTGTGGGTGTGTGTGTGTGTGTTATCATTTGTCTCATTAGGGAGTGAGTGAGTATGATGTGTGTAAGTGTGTATATTCGTGTGGGTGAGTGTATAAGTGTGAGGCCTCCACACCTCCGTAAGCATGTCTGTCTTGTGTGGGTGAGAAATGTGGGTAGGTTTTGATTTGTTGAGTTATATATTGTTACTATCTATATATTGTTAAATTTATGATTTAGCCCGACTGGGTATTTTGTTTTTAGACGTTGTATCCACTTATTTTCATGGGACTTTAAAATCTTTCTAATGTTATCTGCTCTGAACTTATATATATATATATATATATATATATATATATATATTACACATACATACATACACACAGAATTATTTATACATTAATAAAAAGCTAAAAACATTTTATTCATGGATTCAGAAGCCTTATAGTTCCTCACTCCATAATCCCAATGGGCAAAGAAAGCCTTCTATATTTATACAAATTCTGTCCAACACATGCACACAAGTTCTTCATTTTCACACACACACACACACACACTTCAAGTGACCTTTACTTTCTTCCTGTTGTAAGATTTTTTTCTTGAAACTGAAGCCAAACAAACCTCTGAGCCATCGCAATAAATCATCGTCGTCATTGTGTGGCTGAAGGACATCTCGAAGGGCACCTCGGAACTGAAAGAAATTTGTAAATAAAGATTATTCAAAGAGAAGCGGACAAAATGCTAAATTTTTTTTTAATATTGAAGTGAGAGAGAGAGAGAGGAAAAATGAAGGAAAGGATGAAAAAACAAAAGGAAGAATTATATGAAGAACAATGGAAGAGAAAGGCAAACAAAAAAGTTTGCAGGAGAAGAAGAGAGATGAAAAGAAATGGGATGAAATTAGAGAAAGAAAAGCGAAGAATGATACGAAAAAAAAAACACATAATGGTAATATTAGATGTTTCTCTATAAGGAAACATTTGGCATTCATTGACCAAGCAGCCAGTACTGGTTTTGGTTGAAATTTATCAAATTTATGTTATTTAATGCCCAAATCTAAATATATTTTACACTATTTTAATTTATTCTTTAGATGATGGTTTTAGTGATACTAGTCTTACTAATTAACCAATAGTTATGGGAAGAAACTGATGAATTCATACCTTTCCCAGGCATAAGTGAATATAACAAACCCAACTGGAATTGGAACTCAGCTCTCTAATTAACCAATCCAAGACATTATCCATTACCCCACCTGCACATCTTAGCTTACAGCTCCTGGCATTTCCAAGCAGTCACCCATCTAGGTACTGACCAGGCTCAATGTTGCTTAATTTTGTTGATCCCACAGGAACTGGTGTTGCAACATGATGTGGCTGTAAGCCTTAAATTGAAATATTCAAAGAAAACTAACACAACCTGTACTGTCCAAAAATAACGGATATATTAAAAGTAATTTTGTAATTGTGTTGGTCATTTACTTTCTTTATATTTGGACTATTGTCCTCATTTTGGTTGTTGTTATCACATTTCAGTAGTTGTGCCCTCTGGATTTCCTCAGGTGTATCTACAGGGAATTTTGAACTGAACCCTCTATTTAATCTACAGGCGCAGACTGTAGTCATTTCACTGCCCATGTCTACAGATATCTTGTCTAGTTCTTATTTTTTAGTATGGCTCAGTTATTGCTTGCCCATTTCCACCGAGTCCAGGTACACATTGCCCAAACCAGAGATTGAACTCACCAAATTCATGAACCAACCTTTTAATCCACTAGGCCATTGCCCTTTAGGACAATTTGCCGTTGTGAACTTGAAGCCTTAAACCTAAACTGCCTGCTGATCAGCACTGAAAATGCTGCTTATTATGGCTGAAGACTATCATTTATCTTTCTTCCTTTATTAGCAGCTCCCAAACTAACTAAATCAAACATCACAAGGAAAGAAAGGATGGCAATGAAGACCTTATAGAGTGGTACTAGTATCATTATACTGCCAGCCGACAAAGGCAACGGTTCTGTGGTTAGCATCATCATACTGCCAGCCGACAAAGGCAACGGTTCTGTGGAGAAGGACAAGTTAGAGTACTCCCAAAAATTGGCAAGGCTAGTTGAAGATGATAGCTATAGCAAAGTGAAAAGGAACCAACCCTAGAAACTGCCAGTGATCCTAAATGAGAAGACTACGTCCCACTGAATAATTATAGACAGTTGAATCAATGTTACACCAAGTTGCCATATATGTATGGTTGTTTCAAGATTCACATTGGTATTCCATTGAGACCTATAGTCAGCTGCAGGGTCTCAGCATGCCACACACTGAGCAGATTCCGGGTGGATATAGTCAGCCCACTAACAGAAGTCCTCGTCCTATGTTAGAAACTCAGAACACTTAGTGAAACTGATCCAAGGGACTTGCAACCATAATAATCACATGGTAAGATTGGATATGGTAAATCTATTCACTAGATTTCCTACACTACAGATGATGCCCTGACAGTGGTTATATGAACATTACGACAGACATCCCTGATGTAATGTCCATATAACTAATCTGATAATGGCTCATGTGAGCTGAAAGCTTAGATTGAGGAACAGCATAATAAAAAAATATCCAAATGTTGGACAGTTTTTGCCTTTATTTTCTCCTGAAACTAAAGCCACTATACAAAGCTTAGAACGGCTCATGATCAAGCATAAGAGACATCCATTGTTTTTTATATTTAACAGCATGTATTTGAATAATGATTTGCTGCCCCCATACACACACATTATATATATATATATATATGGTGGACTCCTGTGGTATTTGACATAAGGATCAAGCAGCTCAGTTCCTAGAAACCGACAGTCCAGACACCAGCACATATGATTTGATTATAGTGGTGAAGGCGTTGTGCAGAACCAACCACACTTCTTGAAGTGTGGAATACAGAGAGCTGATGTACTACATACCACAAGGTTCCCAAACAACCCTCTGCAGGTTTTCAATTCAGAGTTGTCCTTCTCCTAGACCAATTGCGATCCAAGGCTATAGAACCCAGTCTGTCCTGCTATTTACCCATAGCTGAAGGAAGAAGAGGATTAATACCTTTTTCAAGGGTATTAGCACCTAAGTGAATGTAATGGATTCCACTGGAGTTTGAACTCTGCTCTCCAATTCCTCAATCCGATGTGTGTGTGTGTGTGTGTGTGTGTGTGTGAGTGTGTGTGCATGTGCATCTGTTTAAACTACCTATTTCCACATAACAGAATTGAGAGGAGGAAGGGTAGAAGGAGTATGAAAGGAGCTTGAGGAAAATGAAAAGAGAAAAGAGGAAGAGCTGAAAGATAGTCTGTCTTCTGTTTCGTAATTCCTTAATCCTGAGTGACATTTTATTTATGTAATACAAATTTTACATAAGTAGGTGGGTAGTTAGATGCACTGTTATCATAAGCATTTCATGACCTACTAATATTGTATGGTTGTTGAGTAATCATTAATTTGGATTCATTTCATGCTTCATTGTTTTCTGAAATGGTATTTTAAAGAATTTGTTTTGAAAGAATTACATTTAGAATTTGTATGCATATGGCCATATTGAGAGTTTATAAGCATTTAGTAAGTGTTGAAAATCATGTATATAAGCATATATTAGATACAACTAAAATTAATGCTTTTTTTATGAAAAGCAAAATAAAAATTGAAAAAAAAAATTAAAAATCATTACCTCATTAAAAGCAAAAAAAAAAAAATAAAGATAAAAGTCTGGGAATTATCAGATTCAAACGAAATTTTCAGTACTTATTCATGAATGAATGAATGAATGAATGAATTGTATACTGAACAGGTTATTTTATTAGAAAACCTTGTGGAAATATTTGGGTAGGTGGGGGTCTGTTTCACCCCAAATATTTTCACAAGGTTTTGTTGTTTGTAACAAGGTGGAGTAATGGATAGCAGCTTGGATTGAGGAATCGGAGAGCCGAGTTCAAATTCCAGTTGAACTCATTACATTCACTTGGGGAAGGTATGAATCCTCATCTTCTCCCCCCAGATATGGGTAAATAGCAGGACAGACTGGGTTCTGTAGCCGTGGATGCCAACTGGTCTACCCCTAGAAAGAAATGCCAACCTACTGCAGGAAAACAAATCTGCCTCGTCAGTCATGTATCGAAAGATTCATGATCACCTAAGTGTGTACCATGCATGGCAAATTTAAAAACAAAAAAGGTTTATTTTTTGTTTTTAATAAATAAAGGCATGGTTGAAGAATCGATAAAAATTTAAATTTTTATGCCATTTTTGAGTGTGAACAATTTTTAAAAGATTTTTTTCGGTTTAGCAATTATTATATTATTTTTTTGTATGGATGCTCAAAAAGGAAATAATTTTTAATTACCGCCTTTGATTGACTACTCATGGTATATGATGATAATTAAAAAGATCACATTGAGTACAATTAAATATTACAAAAATAGTGAAAAAAAATAATAGGCAATATATTAAACTCAAAAGTATCATTAAAAAACTACTTTTGACGTATAAAAAAAAATAAAATTCATTTTACTTGGTTTCATAAATGTAAATAGGATAAAAAGTTATATCATTCAACTATTGGTTAAGGTTAACGGAATTATTATAAAACAAATACCAATTTCTTTATTATTGCACTGTTAGTGTTCCATATTTCTTTATTTTCTTTTAAATTTTTTCGCGCGCTTTTTAAGAGAAGTGTTACATTAGAAAATTAGTAATGACATCGCAGGTTGCCGTGCATTAATTTAATCATGTCTAAAACAAGAAGTAAGCATTACTTTCACAACATCCATTTAATTAATTGATAATCCTTAAATTTAATAAATAACTTCGAAATGCATTTCTACGACAAATATTGGATTTTTAAGAGTTTTTTTTTTTTAATTTGTTTATATTTTTCGTCTATAATGGCGGTTCAATGAGTGAATGAACAAAAATAAAATAAACCGACAAAAGTTAAAAAAAAATACTAGCAGAAATAGAAAGCAAAAAACAAAAACAGAAAAAAAAACAAAAACCGTAACAACAAAAAACTAAACAAAAAAAAGCAGAAAACCTAACAGAAATACCCACCACCACCAGAAATAAAAACAAAACTAACAGAAATATCAAAATAGAAAAAAAAAAACAACAACAAAAAAACAATGGACAATAAAAAATGCAACCGTGTTAAACGGCTTTTACAATGACAACAGTGAGTATTCTTTGTAAGTTTGTGCCAAAAAAAAGCTGTCTGCTTTTGTCTCCTCTTTCTACACGTGTGCTTTTTGTAAGTTGAGAATCTAGCCACGTGGAATAAAGTAGAACAGTACGTAAAAATCATTTGATTACATCACAGAAACCAAGCTGTATTTAATTACCTAACTAACAAACATCAAAATACATTTAAGACACCGTAATCTGCGGTAGATGGGTTTTTAACCCGACTTATACGAATAATGAACTCTACAGGTAATTTGATAGTGAATAATACTAGAATACAGTAGGCGGCATATTCAAACAAAAACTTTCAGTTTCGTTGAACAAACAACACGTATTTTAAAACAATGGAGTTTTTTTTTTCTTATTCTTGATAGAAAGAAAGAAAAAGCCTCCATCCTAAAATGTTAATTATAAAACTGAACATTTTATTTTTTTATCAATAATAGATAAATCATGGAAGTACTTACGTCCTATTTTATGACAGATAAACATTTTTTTGTGAATACTGTTATCTCCGGAGGATGAAAGTATATTTGACTTGCAAAGCAAACCCTCTGTCAGTAAGAATTAAGTAATTTTGCCGAAACATTTCAGTAATCAATGAATAAAACACTGCACTAAAATGAACAATTGTAAAAGGCATTTCCTATCCCTGCCCTGGCAGAAGGTTGTGCTCAGAAACGAGTCATTATATATCTAGGTACCTTGGGTGTCCCATACTTTCGGCCTTGTGTCACTTCTAAACTACCGTATATACTCGCAGTTATGGTCACCCCCCCCCAATCGGATAGGTCGCACCCCTGCTTTATGGCTTAATAATTGATGATTTACTGTTGACTCGCAGATAGGTCGCACGGAGTTACATAGCCCTTCTTAAACGGTGGAGTAATGGATAGCGGCTCGGATTGAGGAATCGGAGAGCCGAGTTCGAATTCCAGTCGAATCCATTACATTCACTTACGTGCTAATACCCTTGGCAAAGGTATGAATCCGCTTTTTCTTCCCCCAGCTATAGGTAAATAGCAGGACAGACCAGGTTCTAACAGTCTTGGATGCCAACTGGTTTAAAGAAATGGCAACCTATTGCGGGAAGAAATCCGACTCGTCAGTCATGTATCCAAAGATACATGATCGCCTACGCGTGTATCACGCATGGCACATA